GAGAGAGAGAGAATATAACCGATTTTAATGTTCTCTTTTGTTTGCCCATACATTATATCTCTATTGGGCTCCTAACTCTTCCCTCCTGATATTTTATCTAGTATAATTGATGATCAGCTTAAACAGCACCTTCTGTCAGTTCTTATTTGGGACTTTTGAATTCTTTGGATCTGTGGGTGCAATTTATACTGAGCAAAAAATAATTCTTAGACATCTGGTGCTGCCCCACAGGCATTAGATTCCCCAGTTAGGTTTTCCAATCTTTGTTTTTCTTTGTGTTAGAAATTGGACAATGTCTAAAAAATAAAAAGGAAAGTAATTGGACAATGTCGGTTTGCCTGTCTTCAAAATCACAGCTGTCTTCTGTTCAGACTGTTCTGAAGCCCAACTATTAAACTCTCTATTCCTGATACTGCATCTTTCAACAGAATGTTTCCATTTGTTCATATTTTAACAGTTTCAGATTCTCTACTGAACTTACTTATTGGCTCACTGATATCCTTCATATTTTCCAGTGGATCCTGGAATAAATCATAAATATTTTTAAACCCATGTGTGTTAAACCCAACATCTGGACCACAATCACTGATGACCCACATCAGTAATGATTTTGACTGTTCTTCTCTTCCCTCTGGGTCACATTTCCTGCTTCTTCTCATGTCTTGTATTTTTTCTTATATCATCGACATATTAAAAAAATAATAATAACACAGCAAAACAGTAGAGACTGAAGAAAGCAATGCCCAGAAAATGAGTTGACTCTTTTTTCTGTCAGGATGCTGATACAGACCACTAGATTGACCTGATCTGTATTTGGCAAGTATGTGGACTTTTGGACAGCTTTTCCTCCTTTCCCACTTCCACATGATTTGAAGGTCAAATCAAATCTTTCCCTTCGGCATGACCTTGAGTTACAGCATTGATGCGAAACTCTTCAGATCTCTCTGCGACCTACAGACCTATAGGAATCTTTGAGTTAGTGTGGGTGAGAGTGAAATCAAATCACATGGATACAAACACACAGGTGAGGCTTTTGCTGGGAATTCGGAGAAAGGAGGCAGAGCCAGAGAGCAGTGTGGAAATCAGGATTGTGGGGCTGGCTCTTGACAAAGGAAGAGGCTGAGTGTTATTCATGGGAAAGGGTTGCTTGCAGGGGTGGTTAGAGTTTAGCCATATTAATTGCCTTTGGGTGCTTTCTAAAGGTGTTTTTCCTTGTCCTGGAGCCAAAATCACCTCTCTCCTAATGATGCTGCGTTTGCCTGTGGTAAGGATGAGTCCCTGTAGCTTTTAAGAGAAGACAAATCATGCAAATAACAGGTTCAGGGCCCGGGAACTTCCTACTTTGGCGTCTCCTCAACAGTTTTGTCCTTTGGCTTGTTTATCACTGGCTTTGCTGATGCACCTGGTTTTTGAAGCTGAAAATGTTTAAGGGTGAGTGAGCAAGGCATATACCAAGCTTTTGGAATCTGACAACCTCCAAGTTAGAGTAGGGAAGTAGGGAAAAGCTCACATCCTCTTTTTAATCGCTGTTAGGCTATGAAGCTCCAAGAGTGCATCTGCCCTTTTTCAGAACAGGGGTCCCGACTGTTCTCAGCCCCACCACCACCACCAAATCCCCCAGCAGCAGAAATTTCCTTGACTTTGTGCCTGCCACCCTATTTTATTGCAGTTTTAAAATTTATTGGTTTATTTGACCACTGGGAACTGAGCCCTCCTCTTCACTTAAATCAAACTTTGCCCCAGCTCTCCCTCCACCTTACCACCCTCTATGCAGACTTCAGCATGGCCACTGAAGTGGCCAGCGCTGTACCCAGCAGAGGCCCATGGGTCCTCAGTTACCCCTTCTGTGGGCTGGCTCTGGGTGGATGCTGTAATTCACACAGAGAGGCCCCACTTGCCTTCATGATGTCTTGCAGGAGACCCTGGGCACCTCCATGTGGCTCTCTCTGTTTTTCCTTCTGCCCCTACCTCTGGTGCACTGTTCTCATGCACTTGGTGAAGGGCCCCTTTGGGAAAGAATTGGTAGAGAGTGTGGACTCATTTTGTGACTTGGGCACCATGTGATTCTAGATGGGTACGGTAGCCCACATGTGACCATAAGGGTCTAGATGGGTACGGTAGCCCACATGTGACCATAAGGGTTTGTTTCTTCCTGCTGTTGGCCCTTTGTCCATGCCTTTGGTGGGCTCTCCTTCTGCCCTGTCCCTAGGGATGAATGCAGACACAGGAATCTTCTCCCCTATGAATGGAATAGCTTCTCTTTTAATGAAAATTAATCTTTTTAGTTTTCATGATGCCCTCATCTGTTAATGGATTAAAAATGACAAATATCTATTATTTAAAACTATTCTTTTAATGTGCTTCTCACCGCTATCTTGTTCAAGATCTTTATTTCAGAGTGTGAATTTTTCTGTGCATTTCTGGGGCTTTGAGTTGGGCTTTTTTTAGCATTGTACAGTGGGCAGCATCCTGGGGACCTAGAGATAGCAGAGAATGTGAAAAGGGTAGAAGAGTGCAGCCTCAAACACTGTGCACATTTTAAATCTCTCCAGTAATGACGATTTATAATTGACCCCCAGGCGGATAACTTATCATTCATAGTTCACTCCCTGTGTGTAGCATGTCAATCTGTAGCTTGCTTCTCTAAGTGAACACACAGAATATGGCTTTCTTTACTAAATTTGCAAATTACACTAGGCACTAAAAAGACCTTGCATTTTTAATCTCATCTCTCGAATGTACCGTGCACATTTGAATTATCTAAGAGCTTCTTTCCACTCCTCTTTTTGTTCAAAAAACAAACCTTATAAATATTTTCCTCGCTCAAGGCAGCAGCCAGGAAGGCTATGTCTACAGGAAAAGACTTGAACTACCGACAAACAAGCTCATGCCGTAGGCTCAATATTACACATCTGAAGTGGGATTTAATAAATTGCTTCTTTTGTGGTTTGCAGGTATCAACATTCTAGGAGAAGCACAAGGGGAAAGAGCTGGGGACACAGAAAGACTTGTTGAGATGGAACAAATTCTCTCCTCACTTATGGAGATGAGAAAGACAGTAGAAGGCRTGGCTCTCTGGGGTCGACAGATCTGTGCAATTGCAAAGGTTCRTTTGCTAAAGTTGAAGCATGAAAGAAAAGCTCTTCTATCACTGTGAATATCAGAGTGCCACAGAGTTTTCCCTTTAGCTGATGTATAGGAAAATAACTAAGGGGTAAAAATAAGAGGAAAATTTTTTTTTAATTCCCTGTGTCTACAAAACTGGAAAAAGTATTATATTTATTTAGTCAGTGGTCCTAGTGGTTTTCTATTAGGGGACTAACAGGTCCAGAGACAATTCTAGAGGAAAAGTTGGAATGCTGTGAACTTCCCTGTAATATTTCTTCTCACTCAAATTCTGCACTATGAAAGGTGGCAGACGTGTTAGGAAGTGGTCCTCTTTCCCAGGACCTATCTTAGCGGTTATCCTACTCATTCTTCCCTAGATATCGAGATTTCCCCTCCAGTCGTATAAGTAGTTCACTCTCCTTCCCGACTCTATGCACAGAAGACACAGTCCCTGCTCCCAAACTCACATCATCTCCTTTTTTACCTTAACACCCATCTTACCTCGGCTGTCAGTCAATGCCATGTCTCTGAACACTGTATTTTGCTTTAGGAATAAGGAGGTCGGTAGCCTGCCACACAATTGAATCTCAGTAAATATTTGCTAAAGAAATAAGTAATGAGAATTTGAGCAAGACTTAAGAATAAACCTTCCCTATTAAACTGGAAACACTACATACAGGTCTAGAGAGAGTGAAGTATAAAGAGATGCCCGTCATTTTGCTGACTTCAGACAAAATGTAATTATAAATTAAGGATGGGGAAAGGTTTTGAAGGAATAGAATGGCCGTATAAGAAGATATTTTGATTTATATGAATGGAAAATGTAGGAAAATAAAGACTAAACTATAATTAAAGATTTGAGCCTGGAAACTAAAGAAATCACATCACTCCCAAGTATAAGAAGAGGAGTGGACATGAAGAAAGTCATGGGCGAGGTGTTGAGCAATGGCTGGCAGAGGGCAGAGCATCGCTCTGGAGCATGGGAGGCAAGCAGGATCTGAGCCTGAGGGACAGGACACATCCCACGGAGGGGTATGGGCTGCCCAATGGCCAGAGCAAGGGAAGGGAAGGATAAATCTACAGTTTCTCCCCTCCAATTTAGGAGGAAAAAGGACAAAATACTCAAGAAATGAGGCAGAGAGCTGTGTTTAATTTTCACAATTTCTTGACCTCAGTACATTGCAATCTGCTCAGACCCTTCTAAAAATTAGGAAACAACCGTGCATTGATTCAAATTGGCAGTTTTATCCCATACAGGTTGTTGATTCTGGTGGTTGGATTTTTCCCTCTTTTTTTGGAGTATATCTTGGTGAAAGTTCATCAAAACAGTTACACTTTGGAACTGTCTCCTCATCTGTACTTCCTGGCTCCTGGACAACAGCCACAGGACCCTCTCACTCGATTATTGATCATCAATAACACAGGTAATGATGTGTTTCAAATGTAGTATGGATCCATGGATTAATACTTTATTCTTAAATTGTTAAATAATATTCTGTAGGAGGGAGACACCACATTTTATTAGTCACCCATCACAGATGGATAATTTCCCCCATTAATTAGTTATATAAATATTGCTTTTAAAAATGTTAATCTGTACATTTTTTGTGTGAACATAAGTATTCATTTTGGGGGGGGGCCATCATCCTAGGAATACAATTGGTGGGTTACAAGATGATTATGTTTAACCTTTTAAGGATGTCCAAACTATTTTTCAAAGTGAAAAACTTTATATTCACACCAGCGTTCTAATTTCCGCATAGCCTTGCCGACATTCATTGTTTCCTGTCTTTTTATTCCACCCATCACAGAGTGTCTAGCTACACCCTGTGGGTTGTATTGGTGTTTTGCTAAGGCTCCTGGTGTTGAACATCTCTTCGTGTGCTTACTGACCTGTTCAGAAAGAGTTCTTACCAAATTTTAGCAGATTTGCTTGAATAAATATTTCTTCATTTYCTATATACCYTTGGGACAGTTTCCAGAGATTTTTTACTAGTTGGGTTTTTCTTTTTAGTAATTTTTATAGTTATTAGTCATTCTTCTGGAGGAGATGGCTGTAGAGTCTTTCATATAATCACCATTCAACAGGTTGCTTTCCTGTTATCAAGAGGCATTTTGAAATCCAATTAATAATCTTATTGAATTTCAAATAAATTAATAATTAATTAATTAATTAATCTTATTCAGTAGTAAAGTGAGCTTTAGTAAATTTGATGGTTAATTAATTAGTAGGAATTATCTGTCACTAAAACTTCCATTCCAAGATTCTAGGAGAAAACAAAAACAATTTCAAAAACCATATGTTATTTTTAAAGATTTGTGCATTATCTAAGCACAAGCAAATACTCATACAAAGTGAACTCCTTGAGAAATGCATAGATTCTTCATTCACAGAAGCAGGCATGTTATCAGGTGGAAAATATCCTCACAGTCCATGTTACAGTAAGTGACATTAAAAGACACTGTAACATAACTACACAAATTGACATTAATTTTTTTAAAGTTTGTAAATATCTGTTAAATTACATCTCAGGGGAGAGCATTGATGAGTTTGTCCATGCCGTGGAGTGCCAGAGCATAGCTGTGGAAGTAGATGCAGCTGGAACTAGAAATGGTATAGATGACCCTTCTTATAATGGAGCCATAATAGTATTTCGTAATGAAAAGGTATGCTGGTCTACATTTAGTAATTTTACCAAAGGTGTGGGAAGCTAACATAATATGAATGTACTCCAGTCTCCAATTTAAGAAGCAAAAATGAAAAACAAGTACTGTTTCATTTATTACTTGGCAAATTGCATTCCTTGGTATAATACGTGATAAATTTATATATCTATCACTATTTACCAATACAAACTGTGTATATTAGCAACATTCATAGTGTAAAAATACCCCTTGTCAAGTGTACATTTGTGTGAAAGAATCTGTAGTTTCTCTCAAGGGGCTTTCTAATACATTTATCTGGAACTTCTGATTCATTCTTAAACAATAAACACCCAAAACCTGATTCTATCCTTAAGCAAGACACTAGTGTCCTGAAAATCAAATGCATGGTTGGTTGGTTTGTTTGTTTGTTTACTATATACATGTTTTCTTTTATACTAGTATTTGTTTTTATTTCCACAGTGTTTTTTGCTTACAAAGTGTTTGTGAATTTTAAAAAATTATTTGGCATCACATTAAAAACATAATCTTGGGGCTGAAAATGTGACTGAGTGGTAGAGTGTTTGTCTAGCATGTGTGAGGCCCTGAGCTCTATCCCCAGCACTGAGAAAAAAAAAAAAGAAAAAAAACAGAAAAAAAAACCCCAAAATTTTGAAAAGTGATCTCAAATGAAAGTATTAAATTTTGGCTTCTATGGGGGAAAAAAACACAAAGATCTTTGCTAATTCATAAACTTGTCTGTGTTTTAGAAATATGACTTTTTATTTTCGTGCAATACCAAAAGACTGAATTGCTTCCCGGTTCTCATGGATATTATTAGTAACGGGCTACGTGGAACGCTTACACCATCGGCACATATTCAAACTGAGTGGAGCACAGTTTTGAGGGTGAGTATAACTCTTATGGACTCTCCTCCCAGATCGTGCTTTTCAGAGCTGGCATCTAATTCTTGGTGAGTGAACCACACTGTTACACATTAACATTTGGATTCATGCTGTTTCTGCAGCTCTGGAAAATTCAATCCACTTTTTTAGAGTTTCAAATGTTTTTAAAATGCAAAGTAGAACTAACAAGACATGTTCCAAAGAAAAAAGATGAAACCACAAAAAAAGTGAAATTGTGTGGCACTGTGACTAGCAAAAAAAACATAATGAACCAGAAAAATTAAGGAGGTACCAGAGGAAAGCAGACAGGATGGCAGGTAGGAAGGGAGAAGGGGTGACGTTTTCACAACTTTAAGAATTCAGGACAAAGTGAAGCCTGGAATTGCACACTGTCGATGTTAGAACTAGGCCAGGTTCTTGTCCAAAGTATTCATTCTTTTGGCCTTCCTTAGACCTACCAGGCAAGCTTTCCCAAATACGGGATGAAAAAATTCCTGTTTCTAAAGAAAGGCCCAGGAGATTGGAATGCACTCAGCCCATTAAGTTGGGAAAACAGAGTAACTATGATAGCTTATAATGGTTTGTTTACTTCATAAATAATTTCACCCCTTTGGAGATACAGGGATCGTGTATTTCTTAAACACATGTGTATCAATATCTTGTACCTAGGAAAAGGTGTCGAACATAATAAGCACTAAATAACTTATTTGTTAAAGACACAAATGGATGCAAGTGGTCCTCAAATTGTTTCCATCTCACACAACTCTAGAGTTTTATGATAACATAGATGGACATTGATCCTTTACCCATTTTTATATAGAATGAACCACATATCCATCATTATTTTCATATGCTCAACAAAAAATTTTGTGTCACCTTCTCATACCATCTCATTAAGTGCTCAGAAAATAAAGATGTCTTTCATTAAGGGTGCTTAAGGAATTTAAAAATTAAAGCCAAAGGTTTTAGTTACACATGGAGCATTAGTTAATTTTAGAATGTGTGCTGTGATGGTTCATTTAACCTTTAATGATTKCGAAGGTCTTCTCAACTTTCTTAAAGCAGGATACCATAATTTAGTAAATTCCCCCTCTAGGGGAATCCTATTTTAACTAGAACGAGTTCAATACCAGCTGGCTAGTTCATCTTGTATTTATGTACCCCACAGATTTACTTTAAACTCTATCTCCAGCAACTCATTTTATTAGCTGTTCAAATTTACCTTCTCGTTGCCCCCAAAGTAGGAGCTACCTGGAGTTTCAGACTGCCTTGGCCCTGTCCCACCCAGAGTCAATGGTTTCACACTGAAGCCTGAAGGGGCCCACACTCTGTGTGCACCAGGAGCATGACAGTAAATGTCACTCTCCTGGTTGATTTTGTGGTTAGCAAGAGTCTTTCTGAGGCCCCAGCTGAAGATAACTGGGATGTGGTTATTACCCCCTTCGGTCAAGTGCTCACACAACAACTGTGAGTCATGAGACTAACATGCACTGATTTCCAAGACAGGTTGCAGTTATTCCGTCCTTAAAAAGGGTCACGATCAGGAATAGCAATAAATTTTCTCCCATGCTTTTGCTCCCCCTTCTGTACTTCATGTCTACTTGTGAATCCTCAACCAAGATTGATCTGGTCTCGCGATGTTACTGGGATGACTTCTCACTGGCTGAGGAATATGGTATTTGATTTAGGTAGGCTATCACATTCTAAATAAGACCTATTAGAAAAGTCCAAGTGTTGACTCTGAATTATCACTTATTACTTAGCATCAGAATAAAGTTTAGAATGCTAAGGTAAGGAGAGGGTTAAGGAGAGGGTTGCCACTACTACTTTCCAACTGTGTGATGTGATTAACGTGTGCATGTTCTTTGAATTGATTTCCTTACCTATAAATTTGAGTATAAAGTCAAAAGATTAAAAGTGAAGCTTCAAAGCTAGAATAATAATGAAAGGACTGAGAATCTCAATAGGAACCTGCAGCAGGATTCCATAAAATTGATTAATGTTTTGAAATTTTATTGCAGAAAATGAACTTAGAAATCCCTACTTCAGTTCACTGTGCTCTTTGCTTTTCCAGAGAATATGGGATAATCCATTTGAAATCCTGGGATACACCTTATTCTGGCTGGTTTTGGCATCCAGCTGCCCTCCTTACATAGCCATGGGCAGCATTGATGATTACAAGGTAACAATGAGTAATGAAATTTTCCACTAAATTGTTTAATTTGAGCAGATAATGGTAATATAAGATTTTCCATGAAGATACTTATGCATATATAATTGAGCATTCAATTCAGGCATAAATTCTACTGAATTAAAATAACAGGAAGTTTCATAAGTGGAAATATAAGTATATATAAATAAATGGATAATAGAGAATGATTCTAAAATTTCTAAAGATATACAAAGAAACTTGAATAGACAAAATAACTTTGGAAAAGAAAAAACAAAAGTTAGAACATTTGTGCTTCTGACTTTTAAGTCTCATTACAAAGTTACAGTCATTAAGAACAGGTTGTGTTAATTAAGAATAATCTCACAGGTATCTGAAATGGAATAATCATTTCAAAAATAAATGCATACATATAATATCATCGGCTGATTTCAGTAAAACTGCCCAGAAGCTCACCTTAGGCTGTTACCCTCTAGGGGTGTTGGGTTTATTGTCTCCGTTGAGCAAAGAATTGAAGAACAGGACACAGAGATAGCAAGCAAGCGGCAGGTTTATTGCAAAAGCTGCAGACAGACTTCTGCAGGGAGAAGGGGCCCCTGAGCCAGGAGTCTAGTTGGGGAGATTTGGGTTGTTCTTTTCATGGTCTCTGGAATTTCCTCCTTGTCTCCTCCCCTGTCCACATTCCCCTCGCTGTCATTCATTGGTGCCCCCTCTGTCTATGTGTCTGTTTTAGTTTTTCTATTGGATCCCATGCTTAGGGACACAAGTACAGAAGTGTCTGTCTGATTGGGTCCCCAGCTTGTGTCCMCACGCACTTTTGTCAAGCAGGAAGTTGGCCTCCTTGGAAGACCCTCTCCATGTTCCTTTGTTCTGGCCCTGGCCCAGACCTCCTTACTCATCTTCTTGTCCTGGCTGCTTAAGCCGTTCCCTATCTCCCTCGGGGTTAAGGCTAGACTTTTTAGCAAATTGGGACGGGACAGCTTGATACCATTATGAAAAAAAAAAAAAAGTGATCTTAGCACAAACCTCACACCAGACACAAAATTAATTTGCAATGAATCATAGACCTTGTGGTAGGCAAATATTTCTTAGATGAGAAAGAGGTACTATAGACTATAAAAGGAAAAAAAAAGATAATCTTGAACTTCATCAAAGTAAAAGTAGCTTCTTCTTCTTGTAAACACCAATAAGAAAAAAAAAAGGCAAGTCACAGGTTGATAGAAAAATGTCCACACTATTTATGTATCTGACAAAAGATTTTATCAAAACTACATAATGAACTCATACCTCATTAGTGAACATAAGTCAATTTTAAAAATGGGCCAAATATTTAAACAGATATTTCACCAAAGACAGACAGATGGAAAATAGTGCCATGAAATGATAGCTAAAACCATGAGTCATGAGAAAGTTACCCCAACAAGATACTCCTACATAACATGAATATTGTTGAAATGAGTGGCGAAATCAAGTTTTTGAGGAGTGGTGAAACTAGTACCTCTCACGCACAGGTGGTGACCATCACTTTGCAAAGCAATTTGACTGTTTCTTGTAAAGTTAAAAAATACACCTCCTGCTGCAAGTCCGCAAACTCTTCTCCTGAGTATTCAAGAAATAAAAGCCAGGTGTGTTGGTGCACACCTGTAATCCCAGAGCTTGGGAGACTGAAGCAGGAGAATCACAAGTTCAAAGCCACACTCAGCAACTTAGTGAGATCCTGTCTCAAAATAAAATATCAAAGGGGCTAGGAGGATGTGGCTCAGTGGCTAAGAGCTCCTGGGTTCAATCCCCCAGTACTGGAAAAAAAGAAAAAAGAAAAAAAAAAAAAAGAAAAGAAAATCACATTGACTTGAACAGAAGCTTTATTCATACTAGTCAACAACTTTAAAAAACACAACTGTTCCATCAAGATGTGAACTGGTAAATTCTGGTATGGCCATATGATAGAATATTACTCAGCAATGTAAAAGAAGAGAAAATAATAAATCCATTGATGTGGAGGAATCTCAGAACCAAGAATGAAGACAGACACAAAAGAGAAAATACTAAAGGATTTCATTTAAGTGAAATTTCATTTAACCTATAGTGACTAAAGGCATGTTTGTGGGTTTTTTGTTTGGTTGGTTGGTTTTTGCTTTGTTTGGGGTTTTTTTTGTAACCAGTAATAAAGGCTTTTGAAAGGAGCACAAGAAATTTGGGAGAACAGTGGAAATGCTCCAGGCCTTGATGGTTGTGGTGAATGAATATATGCATTCATCAAGCCTCATGCAGCTGCATATTTATTATGGGTACTTATTCTTGTTTAAAAACTATACTTCAAAAAAGTTAACTGGAAAGTCAGTGTTGAAGTAGGAGGAAATGACACATTGGAAAAGTCAGAATGTAGAAAGTTAAACTCCAGTGTTGAGCTGACAATTTGTAAATTCTGATTCACAGTTTTTCATTCACCCAAATGAATGGTTTATGTGTCTACAAATCACCCGAGCATCCTGCTAAAATGAAGATTCTGATTCAGTAGTCAAGTCTTGAAGGGCAGTCATAGGGTGGCACGTTTATATGACCATCTCAGGCTAACGCTCATTAGTTTAGTCACAGATTGCCATAGAATATATTTTAACATTCCATTTTTGTTACTCTATTATATAAAATCCATGAGACCTTGCAGAAGGATCCCTGTTTCCTCTCCTTCCTCTGCTTCACTTCCTGCCTCTCCCAAACTAGTTCTGTTGCCCAGGAGAAGAGAACACGCCCCATGTTCTGTTCCCTTTCAAGGGCAGAATCTGCAGGAATCCTAAGAGATGCTGTTCCCAGGTGTGAGAGAGCAGTCAGTCACTCTGGAGTTAATGTTGTCCAGACTTTAAGACTTCTCCTAAGGAAACCGCCAGAAGGAATTTTCTTTGGCTGTACCACAATTTCACCGTCTTTATCCTAAGACCTTGTCTGTCATTTCTCTGTTTCTTCGGAGGTTTTTACCCCTCTGTATAAGTTGGGAAATCCTCAGCTCTCAGCTCGGGGCATCCTTCTCATGATCAATGCTATTGTCTCCCAGCTAAGCTCACCTACCACTAGGGTTTCGAATCCTCCCTCCCTGCTGCTCACTCACAGATTGGACTCCATGAACCATCTCTAATTTGACCTCTATTTTGACCTTCAATGTGACTCTAGATTCCCTCTCAGCATTTCCTTTTTAAGTATCAGAGAAGTCTCAAATTTCATGCTTGCAAAACGGAATTTGGGATTTCTTTCCTTAAACACATCACCCCTTCCTATTTTCTGTGTTCTTCAACAGAAGTACCAGGTGTTCTGTCACCCTCCCAGCAACCCAAGGTGATCCTTCCTTCCTCTCGTCCCAGTGTATCTAGTCAATCACCAAGTCCTGATCCATTCTCCCACCTGAATGGACCTGTGTGATGTTGGGAGACTTTGATATGAATTTTCAGATCACATTACAAATTAGTTAGGAGCATCACCTAACTAGTCAGAGCCCACCAACACCTGAATTTAGATGTTTTTTAAAATGAAAAAAAAAAAATGATTCCATATTACTAGAATAGTTCAATGTATAAGTGTGCTAAAATCACATCAATTGACATGTAGTTTTAAAATACATAATTTTATGTGTTTTTTCAGAGAATGACCAGAAATACAGATTACATTTATATTTATGATTTTCTTTTATGAACATATACATATATATTTGGATGGGTAGTGAGTGTGTGAATGTGGACTATGACAGAACCACCCTCACTTCTTTTATTCAGATGAAAGCATAAAGCAATTATATACCTATAATTACATGTGACATATGTGATCATATACTTCTATATGAAATGTATAAAGTATATAAAATACAATACTATATTTAATGGTGTACAGCATGCATACTATATTTAATGGTATATAGCATGCATACTATACACAATGTATAATTAAAATATATTTAATTATGTATGATATGTAACAATACTAATAATATGTGATAATTAACATGGTGATAGCTTAATAATATTAATTACATAACTTATACCCAATATATGATATAAGAATTTTATAAACTTTATAATTAATACAGTGTCCACAGTAATTATATATTTATATTGAAATTATATATTGCTGTATACATTATATGTTACAAAAAATTATATATGTATTATATACTACTAGGTATAATGTATAATCAACATACTAATACTATTATATAATATATGGGAATGTCTTATATGGTATATGTAATTAATCAAGACACATTTAATTATGAATGTTTTCTGGGTGTTTGAAAACTGTGATAGTTTAATACTGCATCCTACCTAAGCATAATAATAATGCATAGTACCTAAGCATAACTTCACAGAGGGACAGAACAGGAGTCCCTGGTGGGAAGCAAGCGGCTGAGACAGGTGGACTCCACCTCCCCCTGCCCTCTGAGCCACGAGGTCACCCATCGTCCACGCAGCCCTCTAGCCTCGATTATTCTGAGGTCTTTGTCGTGTTCCATATTAGTGTCCTTCATTAAAGCAGCAGTTGGACATTGGTGTCCACAAATAATCCGCACCCTTCAGTCCAGAGCCATGATCCAGAGCTACCACAAATCAGGGGTTTGTTTCCACAGTCTCCAACCTGGCCCGCGTTATCTGAAGACTCAGGCTGAAAGGTCCTCTTGCGTCTTTGCTCTCTCCTAACCAGAACAGCGTGAGGTCGCTGCTGCGGATTTCGGGCCTCTTTCCTTCTGCCTACTGGCTCGGGCAGGTGCTGGTGGACTGGCCGCTGTACTGCCTGTTTTTCCCTTTTATGTATTTAATGGATTACGTCTTGAACTCCCAAGAGACTGTATTTACGCTTGTGAATTATTTCATTCAAGTAAGTGACGATATCCATAAAGCAAATGGCATTTTTATTTAATTAGGGGATCTGAATATTCAAACTCTTTTATTGGTAGCATGTTGTCATAAATTCAGTGACTGTCAAATCCTGTGCCATAACAATGTTGGGGAGACTAAATATCCTCCGAGATTGCACTTGTGTTTGATTTCACATTCCTGTTGATTTCAGAGGCTGTGTGCTATTGGGTATGCCATGTCCCTTATCTTCTTGACATATGTGATTTCATTCACCTTTCGCAAGGGGAAAAAAAATAGTGGTATTTGGTCATTTTGCTTCTATGTTGTAGGTATAAGTATGTTTCTTGTGAACACTTATATATTTAGCCTATGATTTGAATTAATATTTTAAATTTTACCCTCAGTAGAATAATAAATTAATATGGCAGTCTAAAATAGTTGACATTTTCCTCACATGTGGATTCTTTTCAAAATCTGCATCTTTCCCCCATCCCATTTCCATTCTTGTCTTTCTTTAAAGGTGACCATATTGTTTCTAGAATTATAAGTTTTGAGCTAAAAGGAAGTCTGGAGACTATCTACATCTTTGTTTTACTGCAAAACAAGAAAATCCAAAGCCCTTCACAAACTTAAGCAATTACACATTCCACTACTAGCATAGTTAAAACTAGAATGTACTTTCTCCAAACTGCCTAAGAAAAAATTAATTCCACAAAACCACACTTCTTTAGTCTAAATTAGGAGGGAAATTTTGTGTAACATGTGAGTAATATAATTTTCTGTGACTTCAGGATACAAAAAGTAACTTATTATTTCATTAAGTACCTACCGACTTCCACCACAGTGTGTCACAAATGAAGACTAATAATAGGAAAAAAAAGAGATATTAATTAGATAAGTTTCATCCTGAAAGAGTTCTCAGAGGAGAGGCAGATAATAAATAGCCACTTATTAAAACTGGGTGGTAAGAAAAGATTGCCTGCAGAGTTATATTCTATCTTAAAAGTCTGTTATACAATGGAGTGATAAGATGCTTGTAGAAACCAGAGAAGGGTGTTACCTATGAAAATGAAAGCAGAGCTTTTCTTTAGAAAGTGAAACCTAGCTGGGCATGTTAGCACACCTCTGTAATCCCAGCAGCTCAAGAGGCTGAGGCAGGAGGATCACAAGTTTGAGGCCATCCTCAGCAACTTAGTGAGGCCCTAAGCAACTTAGCAAGATGCCATCTCAAAATAAATAAATAAATAGGTCTGGGGATGTGGCTCAGTGGTTAAGTGACTCTGAGATCAAATTCTCAGTCCTCCCCACCCCCCAAATAAGAAAGTGAAACCTCAAGAAGAGCAAGATTTCAACACATRGAGGGAAGCACAGGGATGCCTGTAGTGGATAATGGGTGAGCAGGCCTGCAGGAGAGAAGCCAAGCTTGTCCTAGGAATGGCTCACCCCCTGTGAGGCTGTGCATGGAACTCAAGTTGGAGGACAGGGGGTCCTCATCATGGTGTATCAATTTGCACATGGCTAGCCTTAAAGAATGTGCTCAGGAATTTATTCTCTAGGCTGTGAGAAGCCATGGGTGCCTCTAACACAAAGAAAAAGAAAAATATTCTCACAGCCACAAAAAATGCTTGTCTGTGAGACAAAGAAATCAGAAGCGCTAAAGGTTTAAGAAGCCCTTGCAAGGTTTTGGAGGAGACGGATCCAGGGCTTGGGATGTTCCTGTGACTTTCTCTTGTCCYTGAATTTTGTGTTTTACACGTCTGCCTAAGCCACTCCAGGTTGGTGAATGCTTACCTTTCTGCACTGAGAGAGTCTCCAGAAGTCTCCTTCCATTGTTGATGGTGTTGTTCCTGTTAAAATATCAATTTCAATTTTTCCCTATGTTTATTGCTCATTGTCTGTTCTGAGTTTTATCCCCAAGAAGCACTATATRCCAACTTTTTATTGCTTTTCTGTAATGAAAATATTCTGCGTATTGGGTTCTAAGTTTATCCAGTCATATCTTCTTCACGATGCTCCAGGCCCAGGGAATTTATTTATGTCACTCAGAGAAAATGTTAATGGAGATGTGTGTTGATTTCAGTTTGGGTCATGAGGTTGGAGTTAAAATTCAGAATGCAATACCTTTAAGATGAGCTGCTCCCCGATTTGGAACATACACTGAGATTCAGAGAGATTAACAAGCATATTTGTGTTTTCCCCAGGTCACCGTATCCTCTGTGCTTATATGTGTGTTGGAAAACTCTGAAAGTGTTCCACTATTTTTCATCACTGTTTTAGTACCACAAGCCACACTGATTGGCTGTCTGTTCTTATATTTTCATGTGAGTAATGCCCTTGTCTGACTCAGTGTGAGAAACACATGACCAGCTGTGAAGGCTGAGTCTGTGTTGGGGTTCTGCAACACGCAGATCATGCACGAAGCTTAAAATTTTCCACCTCGTAGATTCCAGTGATTTTCTCTTTATGGGACAATGTGTTCCAACTGACCTGTAATAGAAAATGTGGCCCTGGTCAAGAGGCCAGGAGGAAGGGTATGAGTGTTGGAAAGAGAGCAGCCTTCACAGTCATTCTCTCAGGCATGCTCAGCTTTAGAAGCAAGTGAGTCAAGTGCCCCTAACCTCTGAGCCTTCAGGATTCTAGAGAAGCATCCAATATGAATACAGTCCCTTTTCCTCTGGCCAGCTGCTACAAAAAGGGAGAGAGGAAGGTGAAAGAGTGAAGAGGTATAGTGGGGAAAGGAACAGAAAGGAAGGGACACTCTGAGAGGAACAGTGGGCATAGAAAGGCACAGTGTGGCCTCTGTCCTGGGAGGCTGGCTCAGATCCCCCGGATTCCCTCACCAGGCCATCAGGGATGGATACATTCTATTGCTTCAAACAAAAGCTCAGGGGCCCTAGGAGGAAGGAGGTCAGGCCTCACTAGGCCATTTGGGATGGACACTTGCCTGACACTCCTTGGAAAATCAGACAAAAATGTTAGCGGGGCTGTTTGGGGGTGATTCAAATTGATGAGGATAAGATGCATGCAATGAAAAACTTCCTTTTAAATGGTTTTATTTCCTCTTGCAGCTTTTCATGTTTACTGTCTTCGATGATGAACAACATACTGGAGAACTATTTCTGGTCTTCCTAATTGTAAGAGCACACTCTTCCTTTGTAATTATTGTGCTTTTTACTGTACACAACAATCTCAATTCTTAAACACACTCTGAAGTGTTTGTTTGTTTGTTTTTTAATTAAAGCAGAGATACAATATCTGTGGTCTATGGAGATTTAATATTTATAAAATCCGGGAAAAGTTATTTTACAAGGATGAACTGAGAAGATAATGTACTTCTAAATTTTGAGAACACCTCGACTGAAATGATGTAGCAATATCACATAATTGTAATTGTTTCTGGTGGTTTTGTAAATAAGATTGAAAATTAGTATGACAGCAGCCTGATTTACCTAGTAGCTATTGGAAATTTGTAGTGCTTTCCCTAAATACATTTGTGTAAAGTCCACTAACTCCTAGTTCATCGCTGATACTTAAACCATGATCTTTTTGTGTTTCTAATTGTCCTTTTCTCTCTTTATTCCCAGCCCTTCCTTCATGTTATATCATTTTTCTTTTTATTCTCCGATGTCTGGAATGGAAATTTGGAAAGAAACCCATGGGAAAGGATCCCTTCTTTAGGTTGGAAGAAATCAAATGGATTCTTTTCTTTCATTGATCAATGTTTTAAGATATTTCTCTTGTATGTGAAGCAATCCATTCACAAAAAACATGCCTTGTGCTAGTCTGGGATGGGGTAGGAACAACGTACCAGTACAAATAAAGAGACTTCAGATACCTAATCCAAAGATTGCAATCCAGGGCAGGAAACAGACCTGAAATATTAGATATAAAAATCTCCAGGCTGGGACTGGGGGCCCACACAGGGAATCCCAGCTACTGGGGATGCCAAGGCCAGAGGCTTGTAAGTTTGAGGCCAGCTTGTGTAATTTAGAAAGACCGTGACTGTCTCAAAATTTAAAAGCAAATAAATAAAAAGGTCCACGGATATAGCTCAGTGGTAGAGCACACCTGGGTTCAATCTCCAGTACTGAGGGTGGGTGGGAGGCTCTATCCAACACTGTCCTGTGGAGCACCCGCAAAAAGGTAAGTCTGGCTGGTTCCGTTTAAGGAACAATTGATCTGAATAGATTGGTGGTTGGAGGAATGCTATCCATCTAGGGAGAGGAAATAGCGTGGCCAACAGGCCAACGACATGAGTTAGTGAGCAGTCAGATGGTGGACCACAGACTGGTTCAGGTATAGATGGGACTTGGAGGCAGTGACTTCTGTGAACCATTCAGTGATGCTACCGTGACCCTCTGTGTCTCCTGTACCATTTAGGTCTCATCTTTCACTAGTACAGAGAGTCAGAGAGTGACTGCCAACAGGGAAATCAAGGGAAGAGAGAGAGACCAGAAACAGACGAGTTCTGAATGTGACAGGCCAGACTTAGGATGGCGAGAAAGAATAAACATGCATGGATTCCAAAGAAATGGCCAGGCTTCATGATGGACCAAGCATCTAATTTATATTTGCTGAACCAGTCCTGATTCCAAAGAATCTGGCTCACTTTCCCCATGAGAACATAATACCAATGTGTTGCTGTCAGAGCTAAAATTCTCAGAAAAATTGCTTCGTGGAGCTATGATACAAAAATTCTTTGTCAGATAATGGGCTTCAGTTACCCCCCTGAAATAGAAAAACATGTTATTTCTCTAGGTATGTAGAATGCAAGCTACCTGAGATGAGAGGGTCGCTCGGGGCAGTCCTGCTGTTAACAGAAGCAGGGAGCTTACGAAGGAGTTAGAGTTCACTGCACCGAAGGAGGTGATGGTGGTTTGTTAACTGTGCAGCCTCCTCAAGCATAAGTTTGAAAGAATGCAGTGTTCTTAATACCAGGACGAAGGCCAGAAGTCAATTGTTAACGGATGTGTTCAACTCTAGAATTTCTCCAAAAAGTGGTGATGTGTGTCAAAATCCAGAAGAACCCCAAGAGGAGGATGAAGATGTTCAGATGGAAAGACTGAGAACGGCTGATGCCTTGAATTCCACAGACTTTAATGAGGTAAAACATGTAAAGTGGCTCTTTCATCACATTATATGTACGTTCGGTGATGTATGCATCCACCAGTTCTCAAACCACTTGGTTTTCTTTCAGCCTTACATGAGGATGGCTTCTTTAATAGGTTGTCGCCATTTTCCCATCTAATGGGCAGACGGAAAGTCAAGTTAGCCTTCTGTGTGTTTCTTAGAGTATATATGAAGCCAMGTGCAATTGAAATGAGGAAAGCCAGGGGAGGCTTTCAGAAACCCSAAGAAGCAATGCACATCCCTACCTGTTGGAGAAAGTGCACGGTACAAAATTCAGAGTCAGATCCCAGCCAGGGCACACAGTGTTGTCCTTTGAGGCTGAGACAGTCAAGTGCTTCTCCAGTTCCCTTTGCTCCTGCTCCAAGGAGTCCGGCAGGCTGTATGAAATAATGTGCTCCTGAGTAGCAGCTTTTGTAGGAGAGAAAAATGACACTGTCTCCTCTCCAAAAGTAAGTGCGAGTCTAGGAGAACGACCAATACGCACTCCCCTACTAGCAGAAGGACGTCTCTGACGCCAGGCCTGGGCGGCAAAGGGTCAAAGCAATGGGGAGAGAGCTGATGCTGTTAGTGGAGARAACAGAGGTCTGACACGATTCACTTGACCTTCACAGAAGCCAGTCATTGTCGCCAGCTGTCTGCGCAAGGAGTACGCSGGAAAGAAGAAGCATTGCTTCTCTAAGAGGAAGAGCAAAGTCGCCACCAGGAATGTCTCATTCTGTGTCAGGAAAGGTTGGACACTTCCCCAGGGGTGGCTCCTTAGAGCTCCGAGGTTCCTGGGGAGAAGGGCTTAGGCACCATGTCGTGAAGGGTGGCCTCGACAGCTCTTTTCACATGTCTCACTCCTAAGTTAAATTAATTCGCTTGCCCCATGATTCGGGGYCCAGTCATGTCTACGTTGAGCCTGTTCAAGGGACCCACTGGAGCCAGGATGTAGTTCTGGAATAAACACAGTTGGTTTCCTAATGGTCATTATTTTTCACAAGATAACAGGCTGGGGAGGCTCGAGCATCTTCTGTAATCTCAACCAAGAGGTGGTCGATGGACTCAATTTGTGTCATTGTCTCACAGTGGTTAGGATCACAGGAGGCAGACTCTGACACTCCTGGCTTCCAAGAGTGGCCCTGCCACTTCCCATCAATGTGACGTTGGGCACATAACCTCATTTTTGAGAGTTTTTGTCCCCAAATACATAAGAAGAGATTATGATAATTTCTCAGGATGGTTGTGACGATGAAATGAGTTACTACCTACAAAACACACGGCAAATATTAGTCACATAGTCAGACTTTAGATTATTATTCTTAATTTTACCATTACAATTRAATCACATTGTCACCACTTTTTTTTTTTCCAGGTGAAGTTTTAGGGTTGTTGGGACACAACGGAGCTGGTAAAAGTACATCCATTAAGGTGATAACTAGAGACACGAAATCAACTGCTGGCCAGGTAGGTGAATTTTATGGGACATATGTCATCGAGTGGTGCTCGGAATAAGTTTGTAAGCTGTGATAATTTTATAAACAGCAAGGTGCCACACAGTCATTACATGATAGACCAATATGTAGAATGTAGTACATAGAAGAATATTTCAAACGTTGGCACAGAGCTACACTCAAAACTGAAGCCTTGAAAGGGAGTAATTATCCATGATGTCAAAGACAGTAAGAATTTTCTGCATCAGATCAGAAATAAAAAATCCATGAGCATCATCATCTTTCCAATAGGTAATATTTTGATCTTGAGTTAAATTGCTTTAAGAAACCCAAAAATATTTATTGGTTGTCATCATTGTCCTTCACAAAGCACTTTGTTCCTGAAATATGTTTTTTTAATGAAAATACACTGTTTCTTGGAATGTTTTTAGTGAATGGTGACAAATGAGCCACAGGGATGTGAGGTGGACTGGTACTTCAATTTCATCTACTGAAGTGGCCGGGCAAGCTCAGGTTTATCAAAGGGAGAGAAATCATGGGATAGAAATGAAACTCTTCTCTGAGATTCTCTGGCAGAATCTTAAAAACTCCTTTGGGAAAGTATGTCCAGGGGGAGCACAGGACCAAATATAAAGGAGGAGGTCTGTGGAATTGCCCCATGGAAAGGGGTGGGTGGTCAAGCCCAGAGGGAACGCACAGCCAGGAGTCCTACTGACAAGTAGCCTACTAAGAGGAGAGAACACAGGTGTTCACCAGCCTCAGACGCTACCGCCACTGCCTAGTGAGAGCAAGTGTTCACCAAGGGGACCTTTGAGTAAACGTTGGTGAGTCAGCAAACCCTAACTGGACTCCCTGCTTCTGTAGTGACGGCCCTCCACCTCAGTCACCACCTGGACCCAAAGTCAACATTTAATTTCTCATTAAGCATTCAAGTAAAGGAGACATAACTGCTCATTGAGTATATTGGGACAAAATGTTTTCAAACCCAAGTAAGGTCTGAAATACAAAGTCAGCTATTGGCACGTCCAGAAATGAGCTGAATGGGATCAACCAGCGGGATGTTCTCGGCCATGTCATTCTCTTGCCAACCCTGCTCTGGGACTGGCAAGTCACCTCCCCCTTGTCTTATGGGTGGTGGCAAGAGTGGACTGCCATGTCCTTCTGCTACACCTCTGTCCCTCTCCCCTTGCTCGCTCTGCTGCAAGACAGCTGCCTCTGCCTCGGGTCCAAGAACAACTTCATGCCTTCGTGGGACTTTGCTCTCAGCCTTTGCTCTGCTTCAGATCCCCTGGCCCCAGCCTCGTCCGTGACTGGCACCTTCTCTTCTGCTGAAATGACCCCTTCAGCAGATGGGTTCCCTGAACATCCACACCAAAGTCCCTCCCCTGTTCTTCTCCACCCGGGCTTATTAATGTCCACCCCAGCACCCTTCTGGCCCGTCTTGGCTCTGTCCACTCATTTCTCCATTGCCTGATCCACTCCATAGACTGAAAACTCCAAACCACAGGGCACTCATTACCCCACCGTCCATTGTCCTGGTGGTCAGCACAGCATTCGTCATGTAGGAGGCACCCAGAGACATTTCATCCATGAGCAAAGCTAAAGAGTGGGTCATTAAATTAAGGGGCTTTATTCAGTCAGTGATGAAAACATTGGCCATCACTGAGGACCACGATGGCAGGGCGATCACACTTGTGGGATCCTCGGTGTTCAACTCGGATTACAACGCTGGCTGCACACATGTTGATTTACAGGCACTGACCCTGACAAGCTTTCTCCCATGCACATGATCACAGATCATCAAACTCCAGGTGGCCCTGCAGCCTACCTAGGTTGGTGAAGAGAAGGCTGCGGTGGAGGGACTCCTAGAAGTACCGCCAAATGTGGGCTCTGAGTCAGACCCTTTATGCACAGGTGCTACTCCAAGGGAGCAGCGGAGGGGATGCCCTTGGGTTCCTGGGGTACTGTCCTCAGGACAATGTGCTGTGGSCCAACCTGACCATGAGGAAGCACCTGGAGGTGTTTGCCACTGTGAAGGGGCTGAGCAGAGGTGATGCTGAGCTGGCCATTGCACGGTACACGGGGCGCCTGCAGCTTCTGTGTCAGGGAGGGGAGAAGACTGGAGTAACGGCATCCACGGGAAACTCAGGACCAGGGGCTGTAAACACCCACCCGGGTCATGCTGGGCGGATGCCCACCTGGAAACTGGTTTACTCAGATTGATAAACATTGTTTTTTTCTCTCTCTCTCTTATTAAACAAGGAGAGAAAATTCATTAGTAAACTTTATCCAAAAGACTGCAGTTTAAGCGATGGAACAATAATTTGGATATCTTTCAAAAGAGCACTGTCTTTGTGGGTGGGGATCTGACCAGAGGGTGATATGCACTCCCCTCCCCCACCACTTGGCCTCTGAGCTCTGCTCCCCACCTGGCTCTCCCAGCCTCCCCTCCCCTCAGCTGGCCTTGGGGAGCAGACTGAGGCTCTGCTGGGTTCCTTCAGGTTGGTGGATGCGTTCAAGCTGCAGGATCAGCTGAAGGCCGCTGTGAAGACCTTGTCAGCCGGAATAAAGAGAAAGGTATAGGACAGGGTTCAGGTGGCTCTGTGCGACCTGCAGACAGGTGCAGGACAGACTGCCCCTCTCGTTCCAGCTGTGCTTCATGCTGAGCATCCTGGGGAGCCCGTCAGTGATGCTTCTGGATGAGCCATCACCAGAATGGACCCCGAGGGGCAGCAGCAGATGTAGTAAGGAGCATTACCCCCCATGGGGGCTGGTACAGACCACCTGGCAGGGAGTGTGTGAACTGTTTTTCTCCTTTACAAATTGTCTCTTAAATTGTTCAATGTAAATCTCTATATCTATCTATCTATATACACATATCAATTTCCTTAGTAAAACCAATATTTGACCAAAAAAGTTTCCCTGATAACATTTCACAATCATTTTTCATTGAAGGAAGAATAAGCATCAATAGAGTTTGAAGGAGCTCACTCTGGGTACTACAGTGGCTCAGTACCTGTCTTAGGTTAGTATGGACATTTCTGCACCACTCCCGTGGTGTTACCCAGAACTTGTGTAAGAACAGTAGTCCTCCTTACATTGGGACTGTTCATCTTGTTGTGTCTATTTACTGTGCGTATATTTTCTTCCCACCAGGTCGGGACCACACTGTTGATGATTGTGTCCTTCTGTTCTCCACACAGCCTTTCTTCCTGAGCATTTCTCTCTCAATGCACTCTGTAAACGCCCCTCTCCAACGCACCTTTGGCACCTTCCGGCCTCAGCAGCTCTCACCTGGCTTGCCCTTGCCCATCCTCCCTATCTTCTTGAGTCCTCCCTTGCTTAATCTCTTGTGTTAACTATTCCCATTCAGGCCCAGTGAAGATTTCTTTTTTTTTTTTTTCTATCTATTCATGACTAATAAAAAAAGATTCGCTAAATTACAAATACTCTCTTGACAATACAGGCAGACAATCCAGGCCATCATTAGGAACACAGAGAGGGGCGCCACCTTGACCACCCATTACGTGGCGGAGGCAGAGGCAGTGTGTGACCGCGTGGCCATCATGGTGTCTGGAAGGCTGAGGTGAGAGCCTGTCATGAGGCCACAGTTGACCATGAGGTGCATGTCTGGAGGTTTTTCCTGTGGACTGGGAGAGATCACTGTGATCAGCCAGTGAGGCTGCACCTAGGCTTAACATGAGGACCTTGGGACTGGGCAGCAGCAAACCAAGGGTCTTAAACATTGCACCATACGCCTTTTCTTCCTTCCTCTTATGACTTCATGCTCCTCTGACCTCTAGGTGTATTGGCTCCATCCAACACCTAAAAAGCAAATTTGGCAAAGATTACCTGTTGGAGATGAAGGTGAAGACCCTCACACAGGTGGAGGCCCTCCATGCAGAAATCCTGAGGCTTTTCCCCCCCGGACTGCTCAGCAGGAAAGGTATAGATGGTTCCAAATGTCCTCTTTGCCCTGTCAGTTACATCGATTTGTAAAGGAAATGTCAAAGAAAGATTATTCACTGGACACTGTAGGAAGTAAGTCAGAGAAGGGAGTGTTGGTGTAAAAGCCTCGGCCACATGTGCCAGGTACTATCCATGTCTCTGGTCATCTTCTTGAATCCTTGCAGAGATTTTCAAAGTAGATAACTGTTATTCCAAAGAAAAGGAGATAATTTCAAAAGTTTTGTGAGAGTCTGGTGTTTCATAGATGAATTATTATCTGTATAAACAGGGAAAAATTTGATGGGGAGACAGATTAGGTGCCATGACTAAGCTAACAAATGACACAACCAAGATGTCAATCTAATCATTTGTTTCAAAGCTATTAATACTTTGAATTTTATATGGATTTGCATAATGGCACCATTCTGATGAAAATTAATATAGCCAAAGTCAAAGATTAACTTTAGGGTCATTTTTCACACTTCAAATTTCCTGCAGAGGAGAAATTATCTAGGAGTTAGGAGAGAAAAAGGAAAATGAAGAGGAGTAAGTCATAATGACAAGGCGGAAAAATATGTTTCTACAGTGGAGTATAAATATAAAAGTAATGCTATAACTCAATGTGTGCCTGTGACTACGTGGAACTCTATCACAGAGGTCCAGGGAATGAGTCAAAAGATGAGAATAGATACCCTATAGCCATATGAAATGCCATCCTACCAAATAAAATCTAAATATAAGATTTTCAAATGCTAGAGAGACAAACATTTATCTGAAAAATAGAGTATTTAAAATTACTATTGCTGGCATTATTTACAGAAGTCCTGATMTTACAATCAGAAGCCCAATGATATTACTGTACAGTAGGAAGACAGTGTGAGCCTGGTGGGGGAGACAAGGTGTAGAGGTCCTGCAAGATACACCTAGATTTTACCCTTGTTGGGGAACTTGAAGAGTTGACAGTTTCAGAATGTAATTTAAGGAGGAAGCCAAGGATCAGGTGTTCAGCTTAGAAAGTTAGGTGGGAGGTGATTCTGTAAAATCTTGGAAGAACATCTGCTCCGTACATGCTCACTTCCATGCAAGATGCCAAGGACACAGATCTGTCTTACTCTCCCTCCCTGAGGCTATTCCTCTTTGGGAACCACCCCACTTCTGGTTAGAGATTCACCCTAGACTTTTCATTCACACCAAGGACACTCTACTGAAATAAAGACCCAGATATCAAACGACAGTRATCAAAACAACGTGATATGATTATAAAGACAGAAGTACAGATCAATGGGAGAGAACAGAGAGCCCAGAAAGAGATCCAGGCCAACATGGTCAGTTGGGCTTCAACAAACGGGCCAGGAATACACTGTGGGGAAAGGACAGTCTCTTCATCAAATAGTTTTGGGGAAACTAGATATTCACGTGCAGAAGAATAGAATTGGTCCCCATTTTGCACCATACAGGAAAATCAATTAAAAGTGGATTAAAGACTTAAGCCTAAGACATAAAACTATAAAATTCCTAGAAAAAAAAAATTTAAGTGAAAACCCTATGATATTGGTCTTGGGGATGTGTTCATGGATCGGACACCAGAAGTGTTGGCAATGAAAACAAAAATAAACAAGTGGGGTTTCCACAAACTAAAAAGATCCTGTACATCCAAGGAAATAATCCACCGTGAAAAGGCAGCCCGCAGGGCGGAGGATTATTTGCAAACTATGTATCTGATTGATAAGGGGTTAGCATCCAAAATCTATAAGAAAGTCCTATACTGGAATAACAAAATAATAACAATCTGATTTTAATGACTCAAACGGACCTTTCTCCAAAGAAGACGCACAACATGTATATGAAAAAAGCATTCAAAGTCACTTATAATTAGGGAAATGCTAATCAAAATCACAATGAGAGGTCACCTCACACCTGTTGGAATAGTTACTATTGAAACAAAAATAAGACAACTATTGGCTGTGGTGAAATTGGAACACTTGCACACTGTTGGTGCAAATGCAAAATGGTGCAGCCACTATGAGAAACAGTATGGAGGTTCTTCCAAAAAGAAAGAAAGGCAGGGGGAGTGAGGGAGAGGGAGGAAGGGAGGGAGGAGGGAGGGAAGAAGGAAGGAAGGAGAGAGAGAGAGAGAGAGAGAGAGAGAGAGAGAGAGAGAGAGCGCTACCATAACCATATGACCCAACAATCTCACTTTGAGGTATATATACTCAAAAAATAAAATCAAGATCTCAAAGAAAGATCTGAGCTCCCATCTTCATTGAAGTAGCACTGTTTTTAAATTTATTTGTTCTTTTTAGTTATATGTGACAGTAGAATGTATTTTGGCATATTACACATATATGGAGTGCAACTCCCCATTCTTGTGGTTGTACCTGATGTGGAGTTTCACTGGTTGTTATCCATATATGAACAAAGGAAAGTTCTGTCCAATTCATTCTACTGTCTTTCCTAATCCCATCTCTGCTCCCTTCCCTTCATTCCCCTTTGTCTAATCTAATGACCTTCTATTCTCCCCTCCTCCTGATTGTGTGTTAGCATCCACATATCAGAGAACATTTGGCCTTTCATCCTTTCATTTGGCTTATTTCACTTATCATGATAATATCCAGTTCCATCCATTTACCAGCAAATACCACAATTTCTTTCTTCTTTATTGCTGAGAAATATTCCATTGTGTGTGTGTRTATATATATATATATATCACATTTTATTTGTCCATTCATCTGTTGAAGGGCACCTGGGTTGGTTCCATAGCTTAGCTGTTTTGAATTGAGCTGCTATAAATACTGATGTGGCTGCATCACTCTAATATGCTGACTTTAAGTCCTTTGGGGATATGCTGAGGAGTGAGATAACTGGGTCAAATGTTGGTTCCATTCCAAGTTTTCTGAGGAATCTCCATACTTTTTCCAGAATGGTTGCACTGAAGCAGCACTGTTTTTTAATAGCTAAGACATGAGAACAACTTATGTGTCCACTAACAGATGAACAGATTCTTAAAAAACTGTTGTATTTTATACCTACAATGGAATACTATTCCACTTTTAAAAAGAAGGAAATTCTGCAATACATAACAACAKGGATGAAACTTGAGGACTTTCTGCTAAATTAAATAAGCCAGTCACATAAAGACAAATACTGCATGATTCCACTTATGAGGTAGCTAAAATAGTCAAGTTTATAAAATCCCAAAGTGGAAGGGTTGTTTCCAGGGACAGAGCTGGTAGGGGAATGAGGAGCTGCTAGTTACAGGAATAAATTTTCAGTTAAATAAGATGAAGAAACTCTAAAGATCAGCTGTTCAACCTGATACCATCTGATATGACATTAAACTTTTTTTTTTTTTTTTTTTGGCGCTAGGGATTGAAACTAGAGATACTTTACCACTGAGCTATCTCCCAAATGCTTTTTGTTTTGTTTTATTTTAAGGCAGGGTCTCAACATTAAGCATTCTTAACCATGTTTATAAAAGGTAGAAAGACCAGAGCAGTGTTGACAGGTAGTTGACACTCGCCGTGCGTGGTCTCTCCTCTCCTCTCAGGTACTCTTCTTTGATGGTTTATAAATTACCAGTGGAGGACGTGCAACCCTTAGCCCAGGCTTTCTTCAAATTAGAGAAGCGTAAGTACCGTGACTTTGAAATAAGACCCTGAAAAGAAGATATCTCTGAATTACATACAATCTATCCCTGTGAAAAATGAAATGTGACCTAATGCATTAAATTTAAAAATTGAGACCCCCAAATTGAATTTTAGGAACACCAGAATCTGTGTGTGGCAGAGAATGTTGGAAGTGATTTTTATCTTTGCTTTGCAGGGCTTTCTTTCCATGTGTTTTTGCATAAGTCCAAACTTAATTATTTGTACATTTAAAGAAAATGCTTTCTATTGGAACATGCCTATATGCTTAAAATTCAATTTTCTATCAGTTGGCATTTGTTTTATTGCCTTGGGCAGTATATGAAGAAACTGGCTCCATCTGGCCACTGAGACAATCTTCTTGGGTCTGTTGCACTTCATCTGACCACACCCCATGTGTTATTAGAGGGTCACGTTCTCCTTGCCATTTTAGCCCTCGCACTCTGCAACCTGGAGTGGTGCTGGTTAGAACTCCACTCTGTACTGTTTTAATTGTCACTGCTCCATGATATCTTCACACAGTTGTCACCTGCACTAAGGAAGAGAATTTGATCTCCTGGTTCTAGAAGACCCCGTGGCTCCTGTTGATAGCATCTGCCTGCACTCCTGCTGACAATCTTCTTTCCATTCTCTGAGCTGAGCACCCAACCTTCCAGGCCATGTGGTCATTTCCTGCACTCCCTAGATTGGCACCAACCCCAGTACACGTCTCAAACTTGAACCAGCATATTTTCATTCTGCTGGGCTCCTATCCAAACTCTAACTGCCCTTCACCGTCTATTTTGGTAAAAAAAAAAAAAAGGGTTTTCAATCTAACTAAGGGGTCACTGCAGTGGCTTTTAGAAAGAGCCCCCTGTACACAGCCCCTCCCTAGGAAACCTCAGATATTCTGTATAATCAGAGGCGACCTTTTTCAAAATGTGTCTTCCTTCCGCATCTTCCTTCCAGGAAGGAAGCCTTGCCAGCCTCATGTGCTCCCTTAAATCCAGATTTCAAAAACTGCACAGCCTATAAGCCTAACAAGAGCCATTATTTTCCCCAAAATCTAAGTAAACTTCTCAGTTTGTTTTTAACTGGATGATGTGTTTAAGTTATGAATAAATATCATCTTCACCAAAAATTGAAATTGTCAAAAAAAACAACGTATTATATGTACTACAAGTTGACTTACAAGGCCATCTAGATATAAAGATACATGATCCGCTAATGTTTGTCCATCCTCCCACAGTCAAACAGAGCTTCCACCTGGAGGAGTACAGCCTCTCCCAGTCCACCCTGGAGCAGGTGGGTCCCATTCCAGAATTTGCACTATCTGTGGAACCTGAGCGTGTGAGATGTGCCTGCTCTGCCCTCCCTCAGAGCCGCAGGAGGCAGAGTGACAGGTGCCTCTCTGTGCTCKCCCCTCCCTTTCAGGTTTTCCTGGAGCTCTCCAAGGAGCAGGAGCTGGATGTTTTTGATGATGAACTTGATCCTTCAGTGAACTGGAAGCTTCTCTCACAGGAAGAACCTTAAGCCAGGAGTACTCTATGTTCCCGTGGAAGCCTGTGGTTGCTTTTTAAAGACATTTATTTTGTTAGCATCAATGTCATATTCATGGAAACTACATTATAAACACTGAGATGGCTCTTCATGTAGGGAGAGGAKCGGCCAGTGTAGCTGCAGGGACATGGTGGATGGCCTGTCTGAGCCTCCTCCTGCCCTAGCCTCTGCACCTCCGAAGGCTGCTCTGCCTCCATTTTTCTGTAGAATGCTAAATAAATACGTTTACTTTTATGCAACTAAGTTTCTAAGTATGATAAACAGACTTTCATATTTTTGAGTCAAAAATCTTAAAACACACTTTTCTAACTCAGAGTAAGGATTCCATGTATTTACTCTCTGAATATTTATGATACTTTAAAAAACTGATATCGTCATAAAAATTTACTTTTTGAAGTAGATTTCAGTATGTTTGTTATGGCTAAAAGTCACACAGCATCATTGGTCATAGTATCTGATATCAATGTACTTAATACACCCATTGGCAGCACTACGACCAGACACACTCTGCCAAACCAAACACCGGCCATTAGGAATAGATGGCACTTTTTATTTCTGTAAACCAACTGAGTCCCGTTTTCATGGTATTTTCATATATAGGCCTCAGAGGTACCTGGATTATAATTGATCTTCCATGAATATTTGTCACTCAATTTCAGAAAGCTGATAAATGTAATAACAGAGCAAGTGATCAAGTAGGTGAAAAATGAAAAATAAATATCATATATATTTTTTGAAATGTGTTTGTTATTTTGTGTACTTCATGTGATTTTTCTCTCTTGACTCAGTGGCCTGCTATTTACAAATTTCATTGAAATCCTATTAAAATAATTTCTAATGCTGATGATGAGCTGGTAACGGGGTAGATRCTGGATGTAATCATTTTAGAGTATTCTGCTCTACCAGAACTTAGACTAGTGCTTTGGCTATTGGCSTCATTATTATCCCTCATCTTTCAAATATATTGATTACAAACCAATTCTAATTACCTTCTGTAACTACCCCAATTCATGTATAAAAAMAGACAATTAACAGAGAGGTTTCATATTTCTATTTTGGGGGCTTAAGTTTACCTCTCTAGTTTATTTTCTGTTACACAGAAAGATGTGGCTTGGAATCCCTCTTTCGAGACATGTTTAGGAGTCAATYCCACCTCACTCCATGGAGTGATTCATTGTTGGTACTGAGGATTGCTTACTCTGCATATATTACCGTGCTAGAGAGGACGTGGTTTTTACACCAGTGGGAATTTCATCAAGAGTATGAAAAAATTTATGTCATAATTCACTTTTTTTCTTGAATAAACCATACATTTCTTTGTTAGAATATTCTTGGAAAAGATACCTAATTAAGTACTTAAGGCAGCAATATATTTTGGAGTAAGTCTCTTGATAAGAYGGGTGACTCAGGGGACCCTGGGAATTAAAAACTCCTCTGTGCTTTGTTTCCTCCCCCTCCCCCAAGTGTGGGTTCAAATTGCTCTGGAACTCACCTGAAAAATTTATGATGCCTTCACTCTCTACACCTCTCCTCAAAGCAGTGGTTCTCCAAGTGTAATCTATGTACCAATGTCATCACCATATAGGAAAACTTGCTGGAAATGCCAATTCTAGAGGTTCATTTCAATCCTCTTGAGCTAGTAACTCTGGAGGTAAAACCCAGCCATCTGCCTTCAACAAGCCCTCCATATAATTCTGATTCCTGTGATATTTGAGAACCACTAGATTCTTTGTCCCCCRCCCCAACCCTTTTAGGACTAACAAGTAAAAATGCAGTATGTTTTGATTAGTACAACTTTCTTCAATTTGTTAAGAACAAAGAATGGCTCAGGTGAACTGAGAAGGTTGAATCCCACCTACCATATCTTTAGAAAGGCCTATAAACAATTATTAAAAATGAGAGCCATGTATCTATCTTTAGGTGTCAATAAAAATTAAAAGGCAATAATATTTTATATGATATCAAAATCATGATAGACATAAGCTTCAGTCATTTATTCATTTGATTTTTCAAAATGTAATCATTGGTGGCTAAAATTTCTCCTCCACTGTACTGTCGCTTTTCGGGGTAGGGACCATGTTTGTCTTCRTGGTCTCCGTTGCCAGTGCATGACGGATGCTCAGTAAATGGTCAAGTCAGTATCCAACACAGTGCAGAAAAACTGAAAGGGCAAGTGAGAGACAAACACAGTGAAACCGTCCTTACTTTAAAATAAGCTACATGGCTAAAAATGACCTGAATGTTGTGTGACCCAAGGTCTATGGATAATTGAACCATGGCGACTGATCCTTCTAGTTAGAATCTGTAAGTGTCCGAGCTCCAGGAAAAAAAACAAAAACAGGAGAATTCAATTTCAAGTAGAAAATCCAGCGAATCAGATGTTAGAACAAAGTTGACATGAGCAGTTCACTTTTCTCAAAAGATGGACCATGTGATGTACCATGGAGGGGACTTAATGATTTTTTTCAATAGATGTATACTATGACCCCCTTACGTCTCAAGCATTGACACAGCCACAARAATATGAAAAAAAGACATTATCCAGAAGGCTAGAGTTTCAAGAATGATGTTGTACAGAAGGCTARGAAAGAGAACTCTTGAGTGAAGGATCTTCCATCGGCATTCTTAAATCAAAAAGATGATTATTACCACTTTACAGGTGCAGAATCTGTGTCATAAAGAGTTCCGAGTACTTCGTCTAGAATCATATAGTTGGCAGAGCTGGAATTTGAATCTAAGTCTGCCTGACTACAAAGCTTCTTGATAATTCCTGTGCATACAGAATGAAAACAGAATATGGTAAACGCATTGCCAACACAATTGCACAAGACCAAAGTGAGAGCAAAGCAGACCGTGGGCTCTTAGCTCTTCCTGGTTGTGAATATAAAGCTCAAAGCAGAGAAAAGTTCAAGGGAAAGTTTCCTTGAACCTGAGTTCTAAAAGGAGGGTCACGACATGGCAAGTGGCTGCAAAGGCCAACARAAGGGACAAGGCAGAGTGGGAAAGAGATGGAGAGACAGAGGGCAGGAAACCACTTCATCCAGTCCCCATTCTGACTTGGAGATGGGCAAGACCAACTCACCATGTGATGATTGTCTCAACCTAGAGAACTGGGCCAGAGGAAGAGAGAAGGGGAAGCCAAAGAGTTCCCAGAGCTACTTACTTTCAGACCTGTGCCCTGAACCAAAGGCCTCTTGGCCAATGTTTGCACAATGGCCAGAGCCATGACTAGTGGCCATCCAGTATCAGAATTGACTGGATTCTTTTTACAAAATGTGAACAACAGCTGCTGAGCTCTTCAGTTGCAGCTGTCTAAGCAAGGACACATCCAAGTCGTGCTTGTTGAAAACTCTGTGGATTCCTGTGTGGAGGGCTATTTCCTCTGCTTTTTCTCAAGAGAGTTTTTGAATAGCTGAGATGTTTAAAAACAAACACTGGGAGACCGCTATGTCTGTGTGGACACGAACTTCTGAAATTCTATGCTGCACATCCACTATTCAAAAATAGGAAGGAAGATTTTGTTGTTGTTGTTGTTATTGTCCAAAAGTTCAAGAGCCTGGCTCCTTTAAGAAGTCCCAACAGGACAGGAAAAGAGAATTGGTGAAGAATTCAGAGATAGGGAAAAGTGAGCACTGGGAGGAGCAGGGTGGAGCCAAGGAGTGCCCGGCTAGAGAGGGAAGGGGTGGACCTGCCACCATTTTGTGTCATAATGAAAACTTGCTGGAGCTCCAGAAGGACAACAATTTAACAAGTTTGGATAAAAGGAAGCAAAGAACGTCTGATAAGTGATTGGATCCTTTAAGACTATAGAATGAATGGGGCATATGTATGAATACGTGACCCATGTAACTCCACATATGTGCAACCACAAGAATGGGATCCTAATGGGAATGGGTTGCACTCCATGAACATATATCAAAACATATCCTTAAAAATAAAGAAGACTACTTAGCAATTAGCACAAATATCCCTAGTCAAGGTAGAAGTATGGTAGCCTTATTTCTTCCCTCAAACCACCCTGCAAGTTACTTCTGAAGACCAGAACTTCAATAATAATGCTTACTCTATTTTTACTTCTATTAAACCAGGCAAACTAATTGTATGCTCTTAAAGTTTCCGGATGACAAACTGACCAGGGCTTAGTCTGAGATGGTCCTTACCTTTAGGCTGTGGTAACAGATGACTATAGAATTAATCATCTGACAGTTCTCTTATGCAGGGAAGGAGATGGATTCTTAGGCCCCCTTCCATAACACGTCCATGTTGCATTTGGGATTTTGATGTTTCTAAGTCATATTAGCTATCTTTTTGTTTGTTTGTTTGTTTTTAATTTGGTCCTTTTTAACTATTTATTCCCTTGAGATTTTTGTATCAGCTGTAGAAAGCATAATGCAGGTTATTCAATAACTTTCAGTTGTCCCATACAATAAATGTGCTTTTTAACTTAAATGTGCAAGGATTTCAGAAGAAAATGAGAGAACTGTTGCATATGAAATTCTCAATTTTTATATATTCCCAATCATATTGAAAAATGGAGTTAAGATAGCTTAGAATTTAGAAAAATGCAGCCACACTGTTAGGATAAAAACAAAAGAACGCAAAATACCTAGAAAACCTATGAGCTGAGGGAAAGGATGGGTAAGAAACCAGGCACATGGAAAGCAATACTCCATTTCTACAATTGACTTTAAAAGAGCACAGTGTAAATTTTCATCTGCAGATTATCTCAAAGGCATCAACCTAATCTGGCCAGCATGATTTCACAACAAACAAACACTTTAAAATGCCACAGCTGCTGAAAGAAAAACAAAAACAAAACAAAACAAAAAACCTCTTGGGTAGGGAGAGATGTATCAGTCTGGAACATTCCGCAAAACAAAGGGGGAAACGAACACAACTAGTCCTTGTAGGCAGTCAAGAAAATAACTCTGTAATGRTGACACTCTACAAGGAAAACAGAACTTATTTATTTATTTTTGTAAAAACAATAAGTGCTCATATATGAGAACTTAAATTCATTTGTCTGGTTTTCCCAGATCCATTGGAAGACAACTTTCAGGAAAAGCAGCATGAGGTCCCTTTAATAGAGAGCAAGTAGAAAACTGKACAAAATTGTTCAGAAGCAACCATTTCAAGGTACTAAAAAAGGGAAAAAAAAAAAGATAACAAAATGAGAAGCCGTCCCTCTTAGCAAAGAGCCACTGCATCTGGCTGAACCCGAGGAGCATGGGCACACCTGCCTGAGGCTCTCCGCCCTGCCCCGTGCTCAGGCTGCAGAAGCTGCAGGGAGCRTTCCATGTGGGAAGTGGGAGTTCCTAGGCTGGCAGCAGAGACCTGCAGCTCCACACTGGAGTGGGAACTCTACTCAAGGCAGTAAGCAGACCAGCCAGAAAACGGAGAGGTCCCAGAAGTTGACGAGCCACAGAAAGGCCAAGAAAACAACCTCACTGTTGACCAGCCTGTGCACACGTTAACAGGCAAAGGTGAAAGCCAAGAGAGGCCTGGGATCCTGCGGGGACCCTGAATGCATTCCCCCATCCACACTGTGCAGGCTGCCAAGCGGGGACCTTCCAGGATCCCAGTGTCTGTAGCAACCTCTCTGCCTGGATTGTTGTCTGACCTCCAGAGTAAAAGGATGCTGGAGAGACCCTAGGGAAACAGTGTTAATCTATGTCTGCTCTGCCCTATCCAGGG